GTGTGTGTGTGTGTGTGTTTTAGGTCTGGAGGTGTGTACTGCTCCTACTCACCTGTCAGCTCCATAACTGTGATGTCACTGGGAGACACCAGGTACCAACAGAACCTGAGTATCACACAGCTGCATTAAACAAGAACCTCAGCCCTCTAATCCCACCTGAGTGTATTTAACCTGCTGTTGTTTGTTWATATGTACAGATGTGYCCYGCCCTCTCCTGCTCCCAGAATGCACCTGGGGCARTGGGCTATGAGTGATAAGCATGGGTGCATTATGGGTAAGGTCGAAGGTCACGTGGTCTGTTTCCTGTTTCTGCAGCTGCAGTGGATCTGTTCACAGTGTGGGAGTATTTACTCACAGGTACGGCAMTGTACTAAATATGTATTACAGTGTATATACATATTACAAAGTACTACAGAGTACTACACACATATTACAAAATTCTGCACAGTTCTACACATGTATTACCAAATACTATAAGGCAGGCCATTTGGACATAAAATCATATTCACAACACTTACATTACAGATATTTGAAATTGATGTATGACTAGACATATTAGTTATTAAGAAATCTCTAATTCTATTTGACTAGTATACAGCTGCTGGTCATAAAATTAGAATAACATGAAAAAGTTGATTTATTTCAGTAATTCCATTCAAAAAGTGAAACTTGTATTTTATATTCATTCATTACACACAGACTGATATTTTTCAAATTTTATTTCTTTTAATTTTGATGATTATAAGCAGAGTTGCACATAAGTGGTGCGCATGTGCAATCAAAAAAGACAAAGCGCACCAGATGGAATGTCGTAAAGCTCCCTTGCTTACCTAAGATTGTACCTAAGACTGTGAAAACAACAGCTAGCAGGGTCGCAAATGTGACCTGATTTCTTAAAAACAAACAAAACAAACAAACAAAAAAAATCCAGCCTCACTGGTGTGACTGGATCGTCTTTCGGTGAGAGGAGGGCAGCGGGACCCTGATGTATAAGGATTAAACGGACACAGCTTTCAACGAATCAGACGAACTCCAGGGGTCTCATTTATAAAGGATTGCGTGGAAACCATACTAAAAG